TAACTCCTCTCTCTCTCTCTCTCTCTCTCTCTCTCTAAACATCTAGATGGATTCCATAACTAAATTACACGAAAAAGGCCGAGAGCTTTACAGGATGTGTAGTGAGAGATTATTGGGTACCTGCACTGATAGCGGCTGACTTAATCATCATCGTTTCTCTCTCTTCACTGTCTATGGATATATATAAATCCTCCGTCGTATTATTCTTCCCGCTTTATGCGAGGAGCAAACGCATTTTAATCCCATTTTCAACGAATCATTCTGTAAGGGCGAGGATTTGATATCATGATCCCGCGGCAGCATAGTATATGGTATTTCCCCGTGTGAAAGTAGGATATGTTTTTGGATCCGTCTAAGACTTACCACATCACTGTTTTTTAGAATAATGTGATTTTTCTTTTAGTTTTTAAGGACTGGTTTGCAAGTGCTTTTTCCGCCAGTTAACTATTTTTTCCACCGCGATCCGTACCGCGTCTTCACTTATCCAAACGGTTTTGCGATGCAGTCTCTAATTTGAATGTTTAGATCCTAAACTCTATATAAACTTTTTTCTTTTAAAAAAAGATCGGTGACCAAGATCGGGCATTGCAAAAACCGGTTCAAATCAGTGAATAGACACGTACAAAAATAATGAACCGATCCGGATCAATAAACTGATGTTTTTACTGTAACAAAATGAAGTTTTTATTGTAGCAAAACATTGTTTTAATTTAGCAAATCGCCGGTTCTCTTCTAGACCCATACAATTTCCTATATATTGATAGAATCGGCATGGGGTGACCAATTTCAGGTCGGACCGAGTGATTTCGTGCCGACCCAGCATTTTTTAAATCATTGGTATTACCTCATGGAGCGAAGGATAAGAACATCATTATCATCATCATCCAAGCCTTATCCCATCCATTTGACGTTGGCTACACAACTCCTGATGAAAAGATACAACAAAGTTTTCCGTTGGCTTAGGACAAAGTATTGAAAGAGTCAAAGATCGTATTTTACAATCTCTCTTGAATGTTCTCCTCCACGCCCGACGGTCGGGGAACTCTTCGGATGGACATTTATGTCAATCTGAAATATCTTGCGAACTCCTTTTCACTCTCTAGCTGTCTCATAGAACTTGGATTGTACTTTTAGAATGTTTCTTTGGAAATCCAAACCCCGCACGTGTTGGTAAGCTACTTCGCAATAGTTCAGGATTGGTTCTTTTTTCCTTAAGCTACTTCGCAATAGTTCAGGATTGGTTCTTTTTTCCTTCTCGGGTCAATGTGGCTCTTCGACTGCCAATCATGCTGAATTGGTTGCCCTCCTTCAAAGCCTTCAAGTTATTATTGGGAGGGAATTCAATGGATACATTATAATTGAGGAGGATTCCCTAGTGTTATCAAATGGTCCTGCTTGGTCCTTATTTACCATCTGGTTAAAAATTCAAGATCTTTGTGCTCTGCTTAATTTGAGGATTTCTTCTGACCACACCCTTCCCCTTCAGCTAATGATGTTGCTGATGGCCTAGCTAAACTTGGTGTTACTCTTTCATTTTCACAAGTTTCTAACGCTTTGGAATTACTCTTTCCTTTTCACAAGTTTCTAAGGCTTTGATCCAATCCTTGTGAACTCATTCTCTCGAAGCTCGAAGCATCTTTTTAATAAAGGCTCGTAACATTTATCAAAAAAGAGAAAAATTGCACGAAGAGACTCAGAATTTTTCCTTCATGAGAATTTTCAATGTAATTTGCACAAACGACGAGCTTCAAGATTGAGCCCCACTCATTCACACAAGCCGGGTGTCCGAACGTTTTGCTCTAGTCCAAAGTAATGCTTATGGTTCAAACTAGTGGCCTTCAATGTCCACCCAAAATGACAGGGCTGGGTATGACAGGGCCAGCCAGGCCCGAGCCTTGTCTATGCTCGGTCAAGTGCAGATCAGCCAAAAGGTCCCTAGCTCAGTCTTGGCAGGGACAGGGCGGGCCAGGGCACTAGCCCAATCTTGGTAATGCCCGGACTGGGCCGTGGCACTAGCCTAGTCCAAGCTTGGCTAGGCTCAACCTTGCCTTGCTCTCAATCATATCTTGTGGCCCAGACTCTAGTTTTTCAGAGCAAGTACGGGCCGGGCTGCCCATCTCCATTGATAGATAGATACGAATTTCATCATATTTTTTAACACGAGAAAAAAAAACTATTAAAGCAGCCTAGATTGGGATATGATGATCACATCTATCAGTGGCAAGAAGGGTAATATGCCAAACAGAACATTTTGTAAGAACATGAAAAGAATCAATCTGGTCTATAAATTCATGTGCTTAAAAGGTGGGCAGGCCTCTACTCATAATGAATCATACAAATTGAAGGAGAAGATGAAAATGAATCATACAAATTGAAGGAGAAGATGAAAATGAATCAATTGATCAGATTTGTTGCACAAAAATCAAAACCAAGATGTATTTACACTACATTATGCTCTCCAACTGCCCTTTACAATTACTCTTTCTCAATAAAAAGGTTACAAAATGGAAGCAAAAGCACATAAATGCAATAGAAGCCAGTAGGTTATGAGGCCCATCCTAGCTCCTGGTCGTCTCATCAAAACACGTCCGGCTGATACCCTACAAACAATGCCGAATCTGGTCATGAAAACAGTTGAAAAGCAAAACAAAAGATAGGTCATACTAACCCTAGAAAAACCCAAAGCCAAAGTGACCAGTAACTATATTTGTGTGGGCGTTAAGATCAAGGGTTTGTGGCTTAGGTAAACAATTTCATTAATGTTGACACTAGGGTGTGCAGCATGTGAAAAGTTGCTATATTCGTGCAACTCGTGCACTTAGGATTCGTTAACATGATGAAAATAAAAATTAAAAGCAAAACAGATTACGGTTTGGGCTCATCGAAGGCATTGAAATTTTAAGAATAAACAAAAAAAATGCATGGTGTACCAGACACCATCGATCTTGTCTGCCATCAGCTTCGCTGACTTTGGTATAAGACCTGATGTGTTGAGAGACTTGAATACATGACCTGCAAGAGAACAACCAGCGAATATAGCAAACCCAACATTTACTAAGAATAAAGACAATACAGCCTTAGATTCTGTATATTAAGTGTGCCAAAAATAAACAAACCAAACCCTTAGACCTAAAACTACGAGGCAGTAGATACAAACCTTTGTCATCATCTTCAAGTTGGTTATTAATCAAACGATCCGATTCTGTATCAATGGTCAAAGCAAGATGGTCTGTTGATCCTTTCCGGAGTGTCCTAACATGAGCAGCAGCAGGAGATATCGTAGGAATGGGACTCTTGCTTGACTGGTCCTCGAGTAAATGGAAGAAAGCGTAAGCTATAAGTGTTGGCGATAATTTTCGTGATCATAAATATTATCATATATATTGACACAAAGAGTCCAATAACAGAGAGATCATGAGGGGCACGTGTGCTGTGTTTGAAAGAATGCATGTACGTGGCTTGTGTGATTTGCCTTAAAACTTGTGTCCACACACACACAGGTACAAGAGATGGAAGCAGAGAGAGAAAGAGAAAGAGAGGTCCTTCAGATGCAGCCTCCATGGTCCCATTTAGGTCAACGTATCTTGTTTTTGAAGAACAAGGTCAATGTATCTTGTAGTAACAAAAATCACATTAAAAGACTTCAACACTATACTGTTGAGGGTGGCAATAATGATTACCCCATTGCATATCCTAGGATGAAAGTAATGTCATACCAGACTTCCGATAAGTATCCATAGAACTGCAAACCAAACCACTCCGACTGGTAAGGCTTAGAAATTATTATATTGTAATAAGTGAATAAGTGAATAGTTTCATTGATGGGTAGCTATAGGCCCCAAAACTACTACTTTAATTGCATAAATGGACATCGAACACTCTGATTCATAGGTAGTTAACAGCCATTACTTATAAACCCAGTAATCCAACAGGGAAATCTTAAGAAGTCATACTTAAGACCTCTTACCCCAAAATTTCATTCTAGTTTATTGAGTTGTCTAGTTGTTTTCAATGTGTTAAATGGATCTTTGGTGTGTGGACGGGAAAAATTTGCAACCCTCATCGAGGGTCAAGTGTGTTGAACAACTTCAATATGTCTCACTCATAAAGGTTTTATAACTCTTCATAAAGTAAGAGAAGTATCTAAGTATAACATCCACAATTCATGACATATCTCAGAAATATTTAGACACTTTAACCAGAATAAGTATGTGGCTACACTAAGATGTAGAACCTCCAAGACATTTGATAAGGTCCCTCATGGGATCCTTGCAATTCCTCACCTTCAATGGTATTTGGGAGTGACAGCATTAAGAGAAAAATATTAAATGCAAAGAAAAAAATGATGTCTTTTATGAGTATGAATAAATGATAAAAGTATGACAAACAGATTAGATAATAAAGAAAGAAATTCACCGTATCATCGATTTCAGATATCTCTGATCCAGTTGCTTGAGAGGATGCTACAAAAGCACTTCTTTCGTGATCCATTTCTTGTGGATCTGCCTGCTCAGAATGGGACGCTTCAAGCAGTTTAACTTTAGCTGACAAATCATCTACAACATTCTGACTGCTCCGGAGCATAGCATCCAAACTTTGGCTGCGTAACTTCAAGTTTTCAGAATCCTGAACAATGGATATCACCATCTTCTCTAATAAGAGCAAAATTGCCTTTGCACTCAAAGGCTCTTTTTCTTCCAAAATACCATTACCTCCATAATTTGAAATTATTCTCTCCAAACCTGAAATTAGGTCTGCAATCTCGTTAGCTTTTGTCTCTGTATCTTGAGCATTGTCAGCGAGCCTCGCATTTTCCTGCCTCAGATGCAAGACTTCACTATCATGAGATACAAGAACTGACTGCACCTTTTCCTTCTCATGGATCAACATGTTCACTCTCTCTTCCAATTCTAAGTAATGGTCAACAATGTAAAATAGCTTGTCACCAAGACCCAACATGAAATTTGAGCTCTTGGTTTCAGTGTTGTCATGTTCAAATTTTAATCCCTTCACTTTTTCAAAGAGAGTTTCCAACTGTGAACCTGACATGATATGCTTACTAGATTCTGCAGGCCCAAAGAAACAAGAGGTAAGTTAGAATGTTATAAATAAAGGAAGAAATGTAGGGACTCATTACATGTCCTTTGCAAGGAAAGAGTCAATTAAATAAAATAACACTCACCTTGATCTTTAGCTGCCAAGTTGCGAGGCACTAGCAAGAGCTCATCTTCCTTTGCCTTCAATAAATCCTTGCAAGCCTGATAATCCTCCAACATAAGCTTCAGCTCATTACAAGAATTGTGCAGTGATTCCCCATCACTCTCCAGCTTCGAAATTCTCTCAATGTTTACATCCCTTTCTCTGACAGCATTTTCTGAAGTCAGTTCGGTTTCTTTCAATTTATTTTGCAGTGCTTCAAGGGTCCGTGATCTCTCAATCCCAACCAATTCGGTTTCTTTCAATTTACTCTGCACTTCTTCAAGGGTCCTTGATCTCTCAGTCCCAACCAATTCTGCTTCAAGCAATTTGGCCTTAACATCATTCAACTCCAGAGATTGAACCTGAATCCTTTCTCTTGCAACAGACAGAAAGTTTAACACTGCCTTCACAGATTTATCGATTTCATCCAACTTCTCTTGCACATAAACATTTTGGTCTTGTGAATCTATCTTGAAACTCAATAATTTTGTGAAATTATCAGACTCTACAATCTGGAGTTCTTCAGTAGCATCAGCACATGCAGAAAGTAAAATATTTATGCCTTTCTGCAGTGTGGATATTGCGTTCTCTTGGATCTTGTTGTAACTTGTCAAATTATTAAAATCAACTCGTATTGCTTCCATGAATTGAGACATGAGATTTACTTCATTCTTTGTTGTCTGCAGCAGTTGCAACAGAACAGTAATTTGTGAATCCAAAGAGGTCGAAAAACCTTCAAATTTACCTCCAAGATTCTTAATTACCCTGTGCAAACCCTCGAGACCCTCTGCTATATACGACGGGAGATTATCAACAATGTCTTCTCTTCCTGCTTCAATACTATCAGCCATGCCATTTGGATGTTCTTCACATTCAGCAACTGGATTGGCCAGTGATGGAAAACGACCATTCTGAGGAGGAAAAAAGTAGAGAACAATGCAAAGATCAGAACCACAAATTGAGCCATAAAGAGATATAAGAAAAGACAGATAGATATCCATGAACATCTCATGAAAAGTACTGTAATGAAAATCACGCACTAACAAGACAAACTTGGCCAGAAAATTTTCAACTAAGATAAGATTGAATACCAAAGTATTACTAACAAGCCAGTTTTCAAGAAATTACTAACATGCCAGAATATATGCATGATTCTACATTTTAATATGTAATATATTATTTACTTATATAATTTACTAATATTATATGATACAATAAATTTTATATGGTCTACAAAATATTTACTCGATATATTACATTAATAAATTAATATATAATTATATTACGGTACATACAATATTATTACATCATATAAAGATACATCTATATAGTATATACATCTTGTGTATGGGAATATAATATAGGTTATTTATGTACCAACATAAAGGGTCTAGATGGATGCCTAACATTTGCGTATAAAGAGATGCTTTAGAGCGGGCGACATAAAAAGAGAGCGTGCTCAGTTGTGCTTGTAGGGTCATGCTGAATGAGAGAATGAGGGAATGAAGGTCTTTTGGGGGGTCACATTCGATGAGAGAATAAAGGAATAAAGGTTTATGGGGAAAGATGCTAGAGGGAGGGGGGGGGGGGGGGGGGGCTATGGAGCGACATAATGCGTGTGATATATGTGATTAACTGCACACGACAGGCACACAAAGAAAGCTTTGCGTGAGAGTATCGTTACAGACATTAGCATATTATAAGAAAACTTTGGGAGCGGGTATCGTTACACACATTAGCGTATTATAAGCTTCGGATATAAGGTGCTTGCCTAGTCCCATAGCAAGCCCAATCTGCAAAGGGCCACCTAATGCTTTTTAAAACTATGCACTAGAGCAGGCACCACATATACAAGTAAAGCATCTCACGTACTAAATGTGGCAAGATGTTGTTAGGCATGGGCAAGCATATGACAATGAGTGTTGCATTATGCATCTATGCTTTCCTCTAGGCTAAGGATGTTGCTCATGCTGAATGTAACATAATCAGTGCTACATGGATATTGAGACAAGCCACTGTTCATAACTTTGTTAATAAGGCAGACAAGTCCATAATTTCTGAAATAGAATATATAGAAAATATGATGAACTGAATCATAATAAATTTTTTAAAACATATCCAAATAAATACTTATTATTAAAATAGATTACCTAGATAATATTTACTATGATATATACATATATATAATATTTAAATTGAAATATCAATAAAATTAATAAGTTAAATAAATCCAAGAAAGCAAGAAAATAAATTGCCAAGGTCATATTTGGATTGATAACTAACTAATGGTAATCAAATAAGGATATGAACCACAACTACATGCATCAGCGAGATTTCAAAGCAAAAGTGAGATTTTAAAGAGATGGTTGGTATAGAAAGATTAGACTTTACCAAATCAGGTCAAGAATATACAATGCATTAATGAGATAAGGTGCACATGTTGAAATATAAAAGTGAGGTCAAAAGGGCAAATTTGAAGCCTGCCATGCAGATTTTTATATGGAGCGCTCCAAATGTTTTTAGCTACAAGGCCAAGTGGGACCAGCAGAAGCATCAGAGACAGATGAAGACAGGTCCAACAAGGTCAGATGCCTCACATGTAGAGCCAGTATATGTTCGAGAAATTGAACATGCCCATCAGAATCAGTTTTTTCTTGGATCATTTAAATCTCACACATGCAAGGAAAATATGAGAAGTCCATATGTATAGATCCAATTCTATAAAGCCATAAGTGTGAATCATACCAGTGACAAATACATCCAACATAAAAAGTGAATCTCAATTCAAAGAATACCTAAACTCCACATACTTTTTGTGTAAAATCCCACTTCGCGGGTTTCGAAAAGTGAGGCAACCTATGAGCACCTAGGCACAATGAAAGGCATTGATGATACACATCCAAAGGAAAATGTGTCAGTGCTATATATTAATGTGCAATTAATATGTGCTGGTGGAAATCTTTTTAGTACAAAACATTTTGCATATTCATGCGCAACAAGTATGTACTTGGTGAACATATGCATTTGTGACTCTGTATATTGCTATGTATGCATATATTATGTACTCTGAGCTATGTATGATAAAGGAGTACAAACTTACCTGCTTGTCAATCAGATTGTGAGAATGAACTTGTGTGTCCTCATGAAGTGAATCTGAATGCTTTAGCTGGGCGAGCTGATTAAGTATATCATGAAGCAATTGCTCCAAACTTTTCAGGCCCTCAATTTTCTTTGAAAAGCTGTTTATCATGAGAGGAAGCATTCGACTTTCATCCTTGTGGAGCATTCTAAGGAAATCAAGCTGCCCAATAAGATTAGAGGTCTGGTTATCAAGTCTTGACCGAGTTTTAGTTAACTCTGCCATACATGCAGCCAACTCAGTCTTCAAAACACGCATTTCATGATCATTTTCGGATTCACCTCTGCTTTTTTCATCTGAAAGCAAAGAAAGTTTGCTCGCTGCCTGGGACAATGTGTCTTCAAGTGATTTTATAAATGCAGATGCATCCTCCAGTTTTCTAGCCTGAATAAGAGCTTCCTCCTTTGCTTTCTCTAATTCTTGCTCAGAATGAATCTTATCCGAGATGAATTCTCCAATCCATTTCACCTTGTCTATTGGCTCCTCAAATACAAGTTCAGTTGGAAGAACAATGGTTTCAATAGCATCCATTACTCTCTGCAACATACTATTGCTCTCCAATAAATACTTCTCCACTTGTTCCCTTTGATCCTTTGCCATTGTAATCTCCAATTCTAATATAGGCAAGCGTTCCAAATCAGCAGAAAGCTTCTTGATTTGGTCTTTGCACTCACTGACTGCAGCTTCATGCCGCTCAACCTCCACTTTCAATTTCTCAATGTCAGCATTTTTTTCTTCAAGGGAAAGCTTTAAGTTCTCTCGGTCTTGAAGCAAACCTTTCCCTTTCTTCACTGCCAGTGACAGTTTTTCCCTTAGCAAAGATGATTTCTCTTCAGTTCGCACAAGCTCTTTTTGCAGGGCATCTCTTTCAGTCTTCAAAGCCAATAACTCTTCCGAAAGTTTTCTAGCTTCCTGAGAGAGATCAGACATCTGGGATTTCTCTACTGCCTCCAAAATGGAAGCCTCTAACAACATCTTATAGTACTGTTCGAGTTCCTGGTCTTTATCATTCACTAGATTATGTAGCCTTTGGAGCTCTTCCATGTCCACAAGAGATGAGGTATTGATTCTTTCAGTGATAATCTGAAGGCATTTCTCAAACACAAAGCCCGAGTCTGAGGGAGACTGATAAACCACCTGTTGATTGTCTATGTAACCAGCAACCTCTATCAGCCTTTCCATCAGCTCTTCCTTCTCAGAAGATACCTGATGGGATTGTTTAACAATGTCAGTATACTTGCCTGTAAGCTCCTCAAATCCCATTTGAAGAGAATCCCTCTTCTGTCTTTCTTCTGAAAGACTTGTTTTGAGATTCTTAATTTCTGTTTGTGCCTCCATCAATTCAGATTCACACAACGAAGCTTTATTCTTCAATCGAGTTATTTCATCTTTGGCCTGAGAGAAAGAGACTCTCAACCACTCTATCCGACCTTCCAGCGATGAAACTGTCTTGGGTACATCAAAGCAAGAAAATGCATCACTATATTTATTTATAAGACCATCCTTTTCCTTCAAAAAGTTTTCTAAAGCCTGCTTTTGGTCCACAAGCCATCCAACCTTGTCAACAATTTGTTTGGAACTAAGCTCTTCAAGCATATTGACCTGAGAAATAATTCTTTCCAATTCCTGAATCGTTGTGCTCTTCTGCATCAACGATTCTTGAAGCGAAGAAAGCCAACTTTTAGTTTCAAGCAATTCTTCTTCTAGCATATGCACATGTTTATCTGAGCTAACTTGTGTGGCATCTAGGAGTTCAGATTTTTGTTGCAATTCAAGTAAGCATTTCTCGAGCTCATTTGTCTTCTCAGATAATGACTGCCTCAGTAAATCTCGCTGCTGAACCAATGATTTGCCTTTACTCACTGCCAAGCTAAGCTTTTCTTTTGCAGTCAACAACTTATTCTCTGCCTGCTCAAGATCCATACGCATTTTATTCCTTTCAGAGTTTGCCTCTTCTAGACTTTGTTGGGCCTTGCCCCACTGTTCAAGTAAAGCCCTCTTCTCCTCAAGGCATTTACCAGTGGAGACTTTCATATAAGCATCTCCCTCAGCCCATATCTTTTGGAGAGAACCCACATAAGAGAAAACAACATCACGTGCAATTGCATCTTGTACCACTTCAGATGAAAGTTCCTCACATTTTGCCTCAAAGGCACCATAAAAATTTGCTAGCTCACTGCTTTTTTCCGAAAGCTCAGTGATCCTTGCATTGAGTTCTTCAATCTCTTGGTCCTTGGTAAACAGCACGGCATGGAGCTCTCTCATGGTTCCCTCAGCATGTATCCTTTCACCCAAAGCATCATGAAGCTGAATAGCAAACTTGGAGCAATCATTAAGCATTTCATGCAAAGGTACATCCAAGGCCATGTCCATGCTATCACAAACATTTTCTTCAGCAAGTCGAAGACGATCAACTAGTGCATCACCACTCTCAGTGGACAAGAGTTGCTGCTCAGTTAATATTCGGAGCTGATGATGAAGGTCAATGAACTCCCTTGCAAATGCTGCTCTCTCTTCCTGCATCGGGAACTAGAATTAATAGAAGAATCAAACATGGAAAATGTGTGAAAATTTGTACTGAAACATAGGAATATCTAAATAGTAAATTAAGAAAACAGAGAAATGAGAGAGAGAGACAGAGAGAGAGACAGAGAGAGAGAAAGGGAGGGAGAGAAAACATAATCATATTACCTCCAACTTTCTCAAACGAGCATCAAGCTCATCGATTGCAGCATGAACAGTGGTAGAAAACTGAGAAATAAAAGATGTGGCATCTGAATCATCAGAAATAATAAGTGGAGAAGACCCAATTGCTGCTCCCAATTTCTCAACAGAGTTTGTGAGGGTAACCATGAGTTCCTGGTTCAGTACAGGTGCTTCTTTGGATGAAGCCATGCTCAATTTAAATTCTTCGAATTCACGAGCAATGAGTTCTTTTTCTGCGATGGTCTTTGCTAGCTCATGCTGCATCTTGGCCAACTCAGTTTTTATTTCAAGAGTTTTCTCATCTTCCATCATCAAGGATTCATTTTCTCTAGGAGATGGACCATCGCGAACATCATTTTCACTCACAATCACTAAGTCTTCTACACCAGAATTCCTCCTTTCAAGAGTGTCCAATTCATCGGGCGCATCAACAAAGGTTTCTTCCTTAGACACTTCTTCAACAGCAACAAAACTGGAGGTGAGACCTTCATGCTCAGCTGAAGAGTCTGACGAAGAAACCTGGAATGACCCATCCTCCTCATTCACCAATGAGCCATCTCCTCTGTGCACCATATCCAACTGAAAAGACCTGGACTCCTGCCACACAAGTACTTTACTACATAGGAAAACAAAAGATAGAGCAAACATTACAATGTTCTATTACCTGAATCAGGGGTTTATCCATCATAGAATCCACTCTTCCATCTGCCATTGGTTCCACAAATACATCTTCCTGGTTCCCATTCGCCAGTAGGCTGTAATCATGACTAGAGCCTTCTTTAGCATCAAGGGGTTCAAGATAAGTGGTAGCACCATGATCGTGAGAACTTGTTCCAGGTTCACCTTCACTGCATAAAGCTTCATCTTCACCATGTGATTCTCCCTCAGTTACAATTGAAATTTGAACAGTTGTATCCTGATTAGTTCCAGACTCCTCAACCAGAGTGCCATTGCTAACACCCACATCTGAAAAAGTAGAAATTCATGGAATATCAGTACATACAAGATCTCCATGATTTTCAGTTGAGTTGTATTGTTCACTGGACACACCATTATGGACTATTACATCATTAGACCCCAAAGAATGTTCTATGTATACACATGAAAATTGATTTTTATCAGAACTCCCATTGTCATGATTCACAGTTATTGTACCTGAGTAACCATCATCCAGTCCCGAATCACTGGCACTAGAAGAATTATGATCAGAAGTGCTTTCTGCTGTACTGGAGAGACCACCATTCTCATTATTCTCAGACATTTCTGCATATGGAGCCAATAGCTTTAATTTTAAGTTGTTTCCTCTATGACCAAATTAGACCTCCTTCAAAAAGAACCCAAATCACAAAAATGAAGAGATAAGTAAATGGTATGTACAATAAATGCATGAATATAATTGATTAAGTAATCCTATTTATCTCATGAACCCCCATCATCAATGATTAGCCAAAACATCCATAAACATATGTCTAGAAGACTAGAAAAAAAATCATTTCTTTTTACAACGGAAAAGAAAACCCATTTATGAGAAGAAACCTTCATCATCATCATCCAAGCCTTATCCCAATTATTTGGGGTCGGGTATTTCTGAGAAGAAACCAAATCACTAAAATGAACAATTAATAACATTAATCACTCGATAATTACAAGGAAATGAACAAGCATGGCTGAAGAGTGAAAACCCTATTTGACATGAAACCAGGTCCCCAATTATTCTCAATCATTAGACAGTGTGGTCCTTTATGGCAATACTCTTGGACAAATAAATCGCAATATAATTAAGTGCAAATACCAAGGACACAAACAAACATACCTCGCTAAGCTAATAGAAAACCAAAGTTACTCCCACGGTTCTTGAACAATTTCGTAGTCTAGCACATAAAGAGTTGATCCAATAGAATACCACTAACATGCATTTTCCTTAATTCTCATAAAACAGAAAGCCCACTCGCTAAACGATCCCAAATGACAAATATAAAGGATCCCAAATGACAAATAAACAACAAAATTATCTAAAAAGTAAAATCTCAAGCAAAATGCATGAACCAGATAAGGTAAACCACTCCCGTAATTCTTAAGCAATTACACAAATCAAACTCCAAAACATCTAAGAATGATAATCCTATTATCATTAGCAACTGCGATAACAACTATATCGCTATTGAGATTAGTATTAATCTTCAACAATGATAGCAATAATAATCATTTTTTCATGACAATACCCCTAACATGTTAAATAAAATGCATAGAAGAGTACAGGGCAGTGAATGAATCGTTGAACTCACACAAACTAACATCAGAAAATTTCATAGAGTTCACTCATCGACAAAGTAATCCATAAGAAAAACATATTTTATGATCCAATTAATATCTGGGATCACAATTAAGCCAATTTTCTTCTCATAAAACTCTAAAATTAAAACACTATACAGAGACCCAGATCTCAACACAAATCCACATAAAAGTCCCAATAAACTAATCCTACCAATATACACGGAAGAAAAACAGCAAATATCGAACAATTAAAATTGAAATCCGAAAAATTGATCCCTTTTTCTCCCATTAAGGACATAAATATACAAGCGAAGAACAATACGATTCCCGAAACCTAGAAAAACCAGAAAACTGATAATAAATTACCTGGTATAAAGGGCTCAAGATCCTATAATGGAGGTCTAGCACGTGCAATCGAAGTAGGGTTTCAGTTGAGCAAGAAAACGAGCAGCAGAAATGGTGTAAAATGGGAGGCCAACGAACGAATTGTTGAAGAGCTTTAAAAATGTTAACCGAATTGCACGTGCTGCTCATGTAAGAAATTTTGGCGTCTGAAACTAAGAGTTCCCGTAAATTTCGGGCTTAAACACCAAAATTTCGGCTCTCTTTTTTCGTTCGGCTGAGAGACACTAAAATCACCCCAAAAAAAAAAAAAAAACGGTGTAGTTGGCTTACTGAAGCATCCGTATATGTAGAGGTATGGTGCACCTTCGTATTTTATGCTTCCCCTACTGTCCAGCCCTCCAATTTTGGTAGAGAGAGTCGCTCACCGTTTGATCTTAGATCTAATGTTTTAAAGTATTTTATTTTTAGTTTTTTTTATACAAATCGTATGAATATAAAAATTGGTACGTAGCACATAGGCGCACCTATAAAAAAATATAAAAAATAATTTTTTAATAAAATATAATGATCAAAAGACCCCCTTGAAACTTTTAATGGTATTTTGGTTTTTTTATTTTATTAAAAATATTGTTTTTATATTTTTTTTACTAGTGTGAGTTTAATAGAGGATTGGACATCTAAAATTTGGTGTCAAAATCATTTATAGAAAAAATTTAAAAATAAAATAATGTACAAACGTGACATTGTGATTGGGCAATCTTAGCCCGCTCTTCATAATAGACAGTTGGATAAGGAGAAGTGTACAAGTTTATGTTGTAGGAGAAGCATAGAAAGCTTGCTCAAAAAATATTAGGGTGCGGTTCAAATTAGAGCCTACCTTCAAATGGTGTCGAGAAATGCGGTTTCAATATTGAAAATCTTTGTGAAAGCCTTAAAATATATTTTCAGCTTTATTTATAAAGTTTAAAGCTTAAAAAATAGTGTAAATCGACAAATCAATGAAAACTTGAAAATCTTGAAACTTGACGGTTCAAAAATTCATTACAAAATACACTATTTTCAAAATGTGAAATCCATTTTTTTCTCATGTCCATGCATCTTGATGTCGAGATGAGCAATTTGAGGATAATTTAGCATCAAAACAACATCTTCTAGTGAAATTTTTGAGATAGGCTCTAATTTGATTGTTTAGAGCCTCAGCTCTATATAAACTTTTTCCAAAAAATTAAAATGGTAAAAGATATTCTACTCCGTCGAAGTATTCTGTTCATTACTCCATCAAGTAAAACCCCACCTAAGATTGGTTTTTGGACCTTTAGGGATATAATATTTTAACTCATAGATTGACCTCAATACGGTGGCATTTCATCATCATCAAAACATTTTTTCAACTAATTGGGATCGATTGCACAAATTATGGTTCGTCATTTTGCTCTATTAAGGGTCATACTCTCAGTGAGGCCATAATTCTATTATTTTGTTTTTCACTTTTTTCGATCATGTCATTTTGGGCCTATCTCTTGCTCTTTTCGAACTTTCTACTTGAATTAACTTGCAACTCCGAACAAGTGTTGTACTGGGTTTGTGCTATGTATGACAGCCCACCTAAATCTACTATCTCTTAAATAAGTTGACATCTTAGTGTTTGAAACTCACTTTCTATTTATTTTTTTTAGAATAATCAACTAGTGATTCTCAAGTGGTTGCCAAAATTTTAGTTGAAAAAAACCTCCCAAGTAGGTCATTTGATCGAGGGAATAGAAGCTAGGGAGCATAGTATAAGTGCTCAATTAAGAAGATCTATAAAAATATTAGATTAGAATAATAAAAAATATGGAAGAGGGGAGGGGCTTTAGGGGGGAGAATTAGGCCAAGATCACATCTTACTAGAACCGACTTGGTCATGGCCTTTGGTAGTCTAGATTGATTGGCAATTTTCGATCCGGATCACCGAGCTTTAAAACACTATTGCTGATAAATGAAGATCATACCATGTTCATTGGAAGTTAACTTAAAAGACGAATAATCGAAGAATGGTGCTCTATGTAGCGAGTTGCAAATGAATAGTTAAGTCAACTGGTAGCAAAGTTCCATATATTTATAAGGGATTGTATATAATGAGATCATTTGCTTTACAAGGCGGTTACAATTAATTTGATAATTTTGGTACATCACACAGTTCGAAAAAATTTCTTTTGAAGTTTGAATTTGGTCAATGGAATAAATACAACCACCCAATTTCACATTCAATGGTCAAGATTAATACTGACCACTATGTACTAAAGATAAATAGTCTCATTCTATATTTTTCCTATTTACACAAAAACAAAATTTCGTGTACCTAAACATATATAAAATATATGCTACCAGGACGACATATGTGGTAAATGAATAACATAGCATGTTCAAGCAGCACCAGTACAAAAGGAATAAAAGAAGAAAAATATTTACATACGGTGTCAAACTTAACCATACAAGTAAGTTGCACCTCAAAAATACGTCTGTTGTTTTTTGTAAGGTGTCAAACTGCCGTACAAAAGTAACTTGCAACTCATAAGTCCACCAAAAAATAATAATTTTGGCATTTGAAAACCCCCAATCAGTCATCTCGGCCACGATATGCATAGATATGTATAGGAAAAAAGAAAAAAGAAAGCAGACTTCTAAGTCTTAAAAAAAGTAAAACTTGAAATACATTACGTAAACCGTCCATTTGTAATTTTTTAAGTGTTTATAGAACAGTTTGATTTTCATCATTTTTAAACTTTAAATTTTATAATTAGATGTTGAAATAGATTTTTAGTCATTGTAAAGTTTCCTGCGCTAAATTTATATCTTCCAGAAGAATTTAAAAGTGCGCGCTGCTTCTTTTTTTCTTAGATAATTTAGAGGGGAATACAAACCTGTACCCCATTTTATCAAATAATTTTATGAGTTAGTTTTTTAAAAGTGTTTAGAGGTGGTGTAAGTGGGAAAGTGCATCTTTGATTAAGATTCATTCTTTACATAAATATCCCTTTCCCATAAAAGAAAAGGCACGCTTTATATGCTTCCACTCTTGCATAAAACTTGTAAGGTAGTGATGTCATGCAACGGTTGTGTCATAGTATAATACAACCACACTTATAGAAATTCATGTTTATAGTATTTATATGATCCAAAATTTTACACAGTCACTCTCTTCATCTCAATATTGAATCCCTAAAAAAAACAAAAAGTTGAATTCAAACTCTAGATATGGTCAAAATGAGTCCCCTCCAACAACGAATCTAGACCATTCATTTGGTGAATTTCAAGATCTTAGCATTTACGAACTCAAAATTACTTTTTCTTTTTTTAACATTGTTCATCTAATGATAATAAAGCCATCTAAAAAAATTAAAAAAGAAAAAATACTTCTAGGGCTTAGATCTAACCATCTTATCAACATGGACGGCCTATGTTAAATGAGCCAAAAAAATACTTTATAGGTTCCATTTTTAAATTTTTATTCTTTGTGATCGTTTATTAGAATGAAAAATGTATATTTCAAATTTTGGATCAAACAAATGACCCTAACATAGTTTTTGAAGATTGTTGTATTATATTATTATGCAACTGTTGCATGAAATCATTGCCCAAACTTATATACTTCCCCCTATCCAACCGTCAATTCTAAATGGATAGCTGAGATGACCCAAATCACAATGTCATGTGTGTACACTATTTTATTTTTTATTTTTTCTAAAAAATAATTTAACACCAAAATTTGGGATTCCATTCCTCTCTTAAAATCGTACTTGTAAAAAAAAAAAATATCCCAATAAAATAAAATAGTCAAAATACCCCTGAAAGATTCATGGGGTATTTTGATCATTATATTTTATCAAAAAATTCTTTTTAATATTTTTTTTAGGTGCATCCCATTGAGAAGACGGCACATACCAAATTTTATATTCATAATTGTATAAAAAAACTAAAAATAAAATATTCTGAGGTGTCATATCTAGATCAAAATTAGACGGCTGAATGAGGAGGGAAGTATATATCTTTTATGTTGTAGAGGAAGTATAAAAACCTTTCCCTGAAAGAAAATGAAAGAAGTGATCATCTAAAGATATACATGGAATGGAAGACAGAATTACCAAAAAAGCCAAAAAAAAAAAGAAAAAAGACTGGAATGCAAATCGATAGCTAGAAATGGCAATAGGTGGGTCGTCCAAGTCCCTATATAACTTAGACTTAGGTGCCTGGTTTTGGCCCACGGACCAAGCCATGGCCATAAACCTAGGCCCTATGCCCAGGCATGGCTGAGCCTGTGTCAACGGCCGTAAAAAGTTTATATAAGGTTGCAACCTTAAAATGTAGAAATAAAGATGCACCTCAAAAATCCATTGGAAAATGTTGTTTTAATGTTAAAAAAACTCTCTAATTGATCATCTCGACATCGAGATGTATGAATATGAAAAAAAAGTAAAAATAAAATTTGAGTCTTCAAAATAGTGTATCTTGCAACACATTATCTAGACTGTCCATTTTCAAGATTTTCATATATTTTTAGATCTACTTGATTTTAACCATTTGTATAGTTTAAAATTTAATAATTAGATATAAAAATAGATTTTTAAATAATCCTAAAAAAAAATTACACCAAAATTACATATTATGGTAAAATTTGGAGGTGCGCATTAATTGGATTTTTTAAGACTGCAACCTTATAAAAACCGCACCCTATACATTATGTATGCGCTAATATAATACTAAATAGACATACTAAGGGCTCGTTTGTTTCGTATGAAAACTTGCATCACGAAATAGGTTTCATATGAAACGTACAATTATGCGTGTTTGGTTGGTGCGTAAAGTCGATGATCGGGTGATTTCATGTAATGATCTTATAATAAGTTAATGAAATGCCAAGTTAAAAGCATTTGCTTAGGGGTGGCAAAGGGTCAGGTCGGGTCCACATCGACCATGACCCAACTAGGTCTAATATGGATCAATACCTCGGTCAGGTCAGGTTCATGTCCGAAAATAAAAGAATTTTTTTTTCTTTTTACAGTGTATATATATATATATATATATATATATATATATATATATAGTAGTAGTAGTACGTACGTTCGACGTACTACCCACCTACC